ATATATATATATATATATATATATATATATATATATATATATATATATATATATATATATATATGGGCACAACAAAACATTTATAATAAACTATAATAAGTATAGTTAATGGGTCATTGACACTATTTTACCGTTTCGATACAATACGCATAATTATATAAAAGTATAATTATTTTTACACTATGTAAATACTATGGAAATGTTAAATTTGCACTTACAAGGGTTTTCATTACACTATACATAAACTTGTTGAAACAATTATGTGATACACAATCTTCACCGTACTTACAAGAGTACACACTAAAGTCCTGAATTATAACCAGAATCTCGGTAAGAGAGCATGACACTTGTGTATAAATCTATACGAGACTGACAATCCCGCACCTAAGCTGCTAGCTACAGCTAGAGCGGCAGGTATGGGGTGACAAATGTCTAACATTCCGACGCTTGAAGAACGTGGTAGCAGGCCAACTTCGGTTTTAGTATGGTTGTAATAACTCACATGGAAAATCAACAATATATTTAGTTTACGGGGTAACACGCGTTCAAATGGTTTTATATAAGAATGAAACTACATAATAATATTTGAAGTATAGAAATACTTATACATTTTTGGTCTTAGAGTTTTTAAGGCTACAACTCATTTTTAAGAAAATATTGGATTTTCTGGGAACGTACACTATCATTTTACAAGGAAAAAGTTACAAATTTTTCACATACGAAATTCTTATGAACTCACCAACTTAATTGTTACACTTTTCAAAACTACTTATATTCTCAGGAAACCGTTAGACAAGTGACCACAAGGCTTTTGAGGATGGGACGTTACGACGTCGTATTATTCATTTCTGTCATCATAATGTAATTGGTTTGAAACATAAAATACATGGTAACAATGCAACAATTTCAATTATATTTATGATGATTGTGTTTTCTTTGATCACTATTGTACATTATGTTGTGATACTGTTCATGAAAGTCATCCACCTCAGACGTTTCCGCCATCCGGGTTTGGGGGTGTGATAACTACTGCAGTCTTCCCATGCTCAATGTACAAACTAATTTCCTTATGATTAGGCACATACCTTGCTAGCTGAATGACTTCCTGATCGGTGCCAAGGGGTAACAATCCACTATCCAAGTCTGTCTATAGGATCATGAAATGGTAAAACATTATACCTCCATCTTTGTACCCTAAAACTATCATCATATCATTTAACTCGTGGACTGAAAACACATCCTTGTCCACAAATCAAAGTGATCCACAAACCCATTCATGTACGAACTTCCAGATACCGTTTTTGTGAACGAAACCCCATGATTTACCTTGAATGTGCAAAAGCTTGAAATAGAACCTGAGGTGAAAATTCAAGAAAAAAATGTTACAGATGGAGAAAAGCAAAATTACATGTGTACAACATTTCGTCAACCCTACCATTACAAGTTCTGTGCTTACCATATTCTTTACGTAGGTCAGGTGGTTGGGTGTAGCGTAGACGTAACGACCACAATGTGAGCACCATTTTCCTCAACACACCCTTGAATCAGTTGAACTAAGTTGTCATACGAAGATAAGAACTGATGATTGAAGAAGGGAGGATGATCAAGAGGTTTTCTTGGGGAAAGAGATAAATGGTGAAAGTTAATGTCTGAAACTCAACCCCGCGCACCATAATGGTTAAAGCTATTAAGTTAGTTATTCAGAAAAGGTCCTTTAGGGTAAAATGACATAAATACCCTCATGTGCAAGTCACATGGGGGCAGATTAACGTTGGAATGGGCCGACATCCACACATGAGGGCAGGTTAACGTTGGAATGGACGGACATCCAACTCGGGGACTATTCGAGTGCAACTTAACATCCGTAGGTACCATTTGAGAGAAAAAACAATCGTAGGGACTACTTTAGGGAAAAAACCAAAACCTAAAGGACCATTCGTGTAATTTGTTCTTATTTAAATTATACACTGTATAAAACTTTAAATTCTAAAAAACATTACACTATGATTTTTTTTCAATTAACCACTCTAATAATTTTTTTTATCAAACCATTAAACTTCGTTTTTTTTTTTTTTTTTTTTTTTTTTTTTTCATTTTTTAAATCATCATTAACAAGAAAAGCTCTTTTTACCATTGTTTTGCACATTACATTATAACAAGGTTTTCTCTTCACAACTGATTAATCGGAAAAAAAAACTCACAATAATTTTTGCAATAAAAAACAAGATTAAACCGGAAAAAAATAGTGATTATTATTATTATTATTATTATTATTAATTTGAATTTGCCAATAAATCTATTCATAATATATTAGCCTAGCAGTCACATTTACAATTAGGCCAAACTAAAGTTCATGATAAGCCCAATCCACATCACGTACTTAATGGGCTAAAGTCCGCGACGTAAGAATTATGGTGCACGCTTTGGTGCAGAGAGCGATAGATATAGAAGCGAGTGAGAGAAGAACAAAAAGGGGAAATATTACGTTCGAAAAGTCGACTTGCAAACCCTATCGATCGAAAAAGGGGAGAAAAAGGATCGAATAGCAAAAACCCTAACAATTCACCAGAGGCGCTGTTTTTTGCCCAAGCTTTTTCTTCAAATCGATTTAGCAGTAACGGTGGTGAGTTAATCGATTAATTTGTTTTCATTTTCATCATTTGACTTTTTCGCAATGTGTCTTGGTTTTTCTACGAGCATTTCTTTCCAATTGGAAGATGTCTATGTGTTTCTTTGGTCAATTGATGCGTTTTAGCTTTTAATCCTTGAAAGTTAGTTAAATTGAATCGGTTACAGAGATTAACAAGGTAAAACTACTTGAAATAATTTGGAGAGAAAGCGCGTTGAATGAAATTCCTTTGTAAACCCTACTGAATCGCTTTTATTTGAGTTATAGCTTTGTAAGATGTTCAGAGTTTGGATGAACAAGTATCATTATGCCAAATGCTACACCAAGAAACTAGTTTTGCTGTCGGTAGTTTCTTTGCCAGCTAACATTTCCTGCCAAGAAACTCTCAGAACTCTAAGTTATCCTCATAACATCATTTCTTAACATGAGAACATGCTGTTATTGGCTTAAACTTTTATAGCTGCATTTATTATCAAGTGCAATTGTGTTTGTAACTTTTTATAATATATGTGGATGATCGTAATTCATATGGTAAGCTTGATTCTACATTGGATTTGGAAAATGAGATCCCTCTCTTGCGTTTATAGCTTTGTAAGATGTTAGTAAATAGCATCTCTTCTCTCTCATGGTGGTTTGACAGTTGTGATATTAGGATTTGTAAAATCTGCTTATGCTGATGAAATCTATTCTGTAAGAATTAGACCAATATGTTTCTATTCCTACAAACTGGCAAATCATATGATCCTTCTAAATATTCAAATCAGTTCTTATAATTGTGAGATTAAGAAGTAAACTGTAAAGTCTATACAAAAGGAGTTGAGAAATTTGAAAAAGTCATTGACATTGCAGGGAACAAGTATTTGAAATGTCTCCATCAAGATCAAAAGCCAAGGATAAAAGAGCTTCCGGAAAAGAGCCACTGAAACCTTCTGCAAAACCCACCACCGCTGGTGCTGGCGGCTACAATCCACTTCTGGGGACCTTCCATACACTTGAAACCAGCCCAGTTTCTACTGTGCCGCCTGTTAATGGCCGTTTCCGAGATATTGATGACACCGATGACCCTAGCGGCAACGCGGTGGGCATAGGGGTGGACTACGATTGTCTTTCCAACAATGGCAGCTGGTCCGGCGAGTCAGAAGATCCAAAAGACAAATCTTCTCAGGGCACCGCCTCCCGCCAGGAGGCGGCGGCGGTTTCCGGTGTTGATAGTGAGAAACGGGAAAAAATCCGGCAGAAAAATGAGAAGAAACATCAACGGCAAAAAGAAAGACGAGCTCAAGAACTCCATGATCGATGCTGTGGTTATCTAATGTCAAGAAAACTAGAAGCACTTGCTCAAAAGCTTGTTGCAATGGGGTTTACTTCAGAACGTGCAACAATGGCTTTGATTATGAATGAAGGAAGAGTAGAGGAGTCAGTGGCGTGGTTGTTTGAAGGCAGTGAAGATTCCGGCCACCACAACCTTGATACTGGTGGTGGTAACTTGAAGGTTGACATATCACAGGAGCTTGCTCAAATTGCTGAAATGGAAATCAAATTCAAATGCTCAAAACAAGAAGTTGAACGAGCTGTTGTAGCATGTGAGGGTGACCTTCAACGGGCGGCTGAAAACTTGATAAAACTCCAGAAACAAGAATCTCAACCTCCACCACTAAAGTCCACCGAACCTCCGGCGGTTGTTGGCGGTGGCGGTGGTGGTGGTGGTAAACAGTCACTACCCACTCCTCCGAAGGTACAACCGAAACGAACTTTATCTTCAGGAGCTTTGCCTATACAGAAACTGGACGACAACTACCCATCCATGGCTGCTCCGGCCGGGCGGCTGTTGGCGGAATCCGGCACCAAAAACATTCAGTTGCTGAAAAAGGCTCAGCCCCAGCCCATCTCCGACTGGGTAAAGCCACAACAACCCATTTCCGCTCCGGAAAAAAGATGGTCGGTAAATGGGCTGAGCATGAGCCCTTCCGGTTCCTTTACAATGGCGGCACCACCACCACCACCACCACCAGCAGCTTCAAAAAGCGAAATTCTTGGAAATGAGTTTAAAGGTTTACAGCTGGGATCTGTTGTAATGATGCAACGACCCCAATCAAAGCAGATACCATTACCAACCACAAGTATGAGTATGAGTATGAGTTCATCTTTATCTCCATCTCCATCTCCATCTCCATCTCCATCATCTTCTTCATCTCATTTTTCTGATTGGAATCCTCCTCATATGCCAACCCCAACCACCACAAGAAGCTTTAATAACACCACAACCTATGCCAATGGCAACCAGTTTCATTATCAGCACCGCCAACAACCGCCGCCACAGCACTATGTGCCGACTCCTACTCTGGCGGCTGCTTCTTCTCTAGGGCTGTTTTCCGGGATGGGCTCAGGCGGAGCTCCGGGCGGCACGACGGGGGCAGGGGAAGGGGCAGGGGCAGGGGCAGGGGCGGGGGCGGCTCATGTTGATTGGCATGGTGACTGGTCCTCGCAGTTTGATTATACAAATATTGACTGGAGTTTGAATCGGATCCCATCACCGAGCTCGTTGAGACCAAACGGGATGTGGATGGGTGGTTCGGGGAGTAAAATGGCGGTGAGACCGGTGGCGGCTAATGGGTTGCTGCACCACCATACTGATGGGGTTGGGGTTGGGGTGGTTGGTGGTGGTTCGGAGGCGGTGGGTGGTGGTTCTCGGGAATGGTCGTCTCCGTTTGAGGAGAAGGATTTGTTTAGTTTACCCAGAAAGTTTGTTTCTTCCCCCACTCTGTAGTGGGAGAGGGGAGTTTGATAAAAGAATAAGATAAAAAGAAAAAAAGGGTATGAAAGATTTAAAGGAAAAAACATGACTTGAAAATATGTGGTGTTGATTTTTGTTTTTCTCAATCATGATGTCTCCCTATTGCTTATTGATTATTTGCGTATTCTTTCTTTAGTTGCCTCCATAACTAAACTAAAGTCTCACCCTTAACTGAACTGAAAATAGTCCATACTCAAAAAATAAATAAATAAAATATTGGACGATTAATAATCAGTCGAACAGTGAATGGTTGGCCCTTTTTTCTTCTGTTCAATTTAATAACTCATTTAATGTGCATCACAAAATAATGTTCTAACTGCTTTTCAAATGAGGAATACAATGTTGACTTGGTTGGCATAGTCCCTTAATCTTGCTCTTGTAAATAAATTTAAATGGATTTTAAAAAAAATGCCTATATAAATTATGTTATAGAAACCTTTCATTTGATGAAATGAACTTTTATAAGGTTTTTTAGATGATCTACCTTTTAATGGATCCATTTACACCAAAGCAGACCAATAGCCTTCCAGTAGGTAATAACCATCAACCAAAAGACCTATAAAATACAAGTTTTGTAAGGGTTGAAACGTATATTATGTAGTGTATTTTTTTCATTTAGTAGGAGCTTTGTTTCATTTTAGTCGATATATTTGTATATTTCGTAAACAACAGCAATATAGTATAATTTGCATACATTAATACTTAATAGTGTTCTTTGTGCGTAAATTGTATTTCTTATTACGATTTGTTGGTCAAAACAGTTTAAATCACAATGTTTTTTTTTTTTTTTTTTTTTTTTTTTTTTTTTATAAAAGTCGAAGGTAAATTTTGTCCAAGATTACAGAAAATGAATTCTTTTTGTAAAAAAACATCGAGGGGAGTGTTGTGTAATCTGGCTAAAGAAGTGCCTTCGAAAACGTTAAAAGAAAATACGCCAAAGAATCCATACCCATCCTACATTTGGATTCCGTTTCTCACCTAAAAAACCACTCCTCGTCAACTCAAAACGCCATTTTTGATCTTTGAATCACCTAATAATCCTCTTCTCTCATGGCGGCAATGGCTGCCTCTCACTTCTTTTGTAGTCGCCACATTAACTACTCCAGCGATAGTATATCGAAATTCAGTAATCCCCTTGGAGATGGAAGCTTAAGACCGTATTTTTCTTCCCATAAGTCAAAAGGGTTCTCATCTTTTCAAACGAAATGCAGAAATTCGAGAACTCATATCGTCAAAGCAATATCCGATAGCTCAAAACATGACAGAAAACAAGTGGAGGTGGATTTTGTCAAATTATTTGGGTTAATTAGCGATTTTTGTTGCTACCCTCTGTGCTTATTGTCGTTAAGTCTCATTATTTTCTTTTCTAATTGTGGGAATTTTAGCTTGTGTATAATCTTGATGAAAAGCTAAATAGATTAGCTGATGAGGTGGATATGAACGCTGGATTGTCAAGGCTCTCTCTGTTTTCTCCTTGCAAGGTAAGATAATAATGTTCCTTGTGTTATTTCTTTGTTGTGGTCTTGATGGAAAGTGAAATTGCAAGTAAATTTATGATTTAATTGGTACTCTCTACAAATATTTTTAGCAATAGTTGTGATAGAAAATACGAAAATTGGGAAGGAAGGATGTATGTTACTAGTTTCAGAATATAAAATTTATATGGAATTTGTTAGAATTCAAGAATATTTTAAAAGTTATGATGTAGTTCCATATTATTCTGGCAACTTGAAGATAGTCTTTACGGATCTTGAAGGTGAAATACCCCATTTGACCACAAGTAAAACTCTTATGATTTCTTAATTTCTAAGGCTACTTCATTATGCAGCATAGGTTACTACTTTTTTTTGTTTCAGATGAAATTGATTAATTAAATTACCATAGGTAGTTAGTTTTCAAAGTTCCATAGTAAGAGGAAGAAATGAAAGTAGGATGAGTTCAGTGGAACTGAGTGGATTGAATCTACTTTTTGTTTTGTAAACATTATGCTTTATGAATTGGGTCTGTAATATTTTGAAACACAGATCAATGTTTTTCTAAGAATAACCAGTAAGAGGCCAGACGGGTTTCATGACTTAGCATCTCTATTTCATGTAAGTTCCACAATATATTGATCTTTTTCCTTTTTAAGTTTTTTAATATTTTTGATGTTTTTCATACAATGTTGAAAATTCAAGGTAATCAGCTTAGGAGATAAGATAAAGTTCTCCTTGTCCCCATCAAAATCTAAAGATCGCCTATCAACTAATGTGCCTGGAATCCCACTTGATGAAAGAAATTTGGTAAATTACTACTTTTTGTTTTAATTATTATTCTTTTGTTTAATGTAGATATTTTACCAAGTGTTTTATGCATTCAGATAATCAAAGCCTTGAACCTTTATCGGAAGAAGACCGGAAGTGACAAATTCTTTTGGGTAAGATGTGTAAAATTAGCAGTTAGATAAATCATATCAATACAATAATACAATCATGAAAAATCTATGTTGGTTACTGCAATGTGAATGTTGTAATGGAAAGAAATGAAAGAAAAAAATGAAAGTAGGTTACTATTTGTGGCAGATTCATGTGGATAAAAGAGTTCCAACAGGGGCGGGGCTTGGCGGTGGAAGCAGTAATGCTGCAACGGCTCTTTGGGCGGCAAACCAGTTCAGTGGTGGGGTGGTGACTGAGAAGGAACTCCAAGAATGGTCAGGTGAGATTGGGTCAGATGTCCCTTTCTTCTTCTCTAATGGAGCAGCCTATTGCACAGGTAGAGGTGAGGTATGTCAAATTCTCAATTCTCAATTCTCATGCCAAAAAAAAAAAAAAAAAAAAAATCTCCAATTTAGTAATTTTGTAATCAAATTTGCTTTTAAAATATATTAATGAAATTTGCTGATTTCAGATTGTTCAAGATATACCCTCACCTCTACCTTTCGATTTGCCAATGGTTCTGATTAAGCCTCCACAGGCATGCTCCACAGCTGAAGTCTACAAGGTGATTTCTAACCACACGTATCTTTTTTTATAAAGTTTTACAGTTTTCTTTTCTAAAGTTAACTAGAAAAATATATATATATATATTTTTATATCATAATATATTTGGGTTTTAATGAGTTTTTATTACATTTTATTTTTGTAATTTTGTAATTAAAAAGTTCATTAATTATAACTAAACACTACAATATGCCCTATTTTTATTCATGTAATCTTAAATGACACAATTTCTGTTTAAAAATGTCATGATTTCAGTTTAAATTACTACTAACCTTTTAAAATATTGAAAGATAACTAGGCAATATATTTTTTACACTAATCTTATTTGTGTTATAACTTATAATGAGATTTTATTATGATTAGCTGTTTTATGTCGTTGTAAATATAATTCATGAATTTTGAATTAAGTGGTCTCTAGAATAGAGTTAAAAGTTACTATACATTTTTTTCCTACCCAAAGAGTTGAACTAGGTGGCATACCATAGGGACTCGCTCTCTATATATCGTGTGTGTAAAAGACATAAATCCCCCTCCTCATCCTCATTATTAAATTTTCAATTTTTGTCCCATATGCAACCGTCCCAATTCCGGTTGAATACATGCCAAACACAGTACAACTTGTACAGTCCTGTCATGTCATGTCATACGTATCAAACAGGTAATATTGAATGTAGATAACATAATCATAATCATTGTTCTAAGTTTAAAATTTTCTTGTTAGCGTTTCCGGTTGGATGTATCAAGTAGCATTGAACCTTCAACTTTGCTGGAGAAAATCTCAAAAAATGGAATATCGCAAGATGTTTGTGTAAACGATTTGGGTATGAATTCACTATCATTTTCGTCTTGCATCGATTTCTTCCATGGATGAGAATGAGATGATTGATTTGACTTCACATTTATGCTCTCCACAGAAGCCCCTGCATTTGAAGTGCTTCCATCTTTGAAAAGACTAAAACAACGCATACTTGCTGCAGGCCGTGGGAAATACGATGCCGTTTTTATGTCCGGAAGGTGCTAACTTTTATCGCTACTTAAGGATTCATTAAATAGCAACGTACTTTCATTTATTTGTTTATTACTTTCATTTCTTCCTATTATAGCATTCTACTTAAAAAGTTTACCCAATTATAGCATTATCGCCCAAATACGAAGAAATTTTTACTACTATAATTCGTTAGGTTTTTCATAGTACAATGCCCTAATAAGAAAAAAAAAATCAAAGTAGAATGTTATAATTGGTATAAAGTACAATGTCTAAATAAAAATTGATTTTGAAAGTACAAAGCTATAATAGAAAAATGCTATCTATATACATGAAATAATGAATGTACGTTGGTGTATCTTGCATTTAGCCCTTCTTTCAATTTGTGAAACATACATGCTTGTATAGTTTTGATTTTCCCCTTTTCCATTATTATTCGGTAGGTTGATGGAAGAGTGTGTTTTTCTAGATTCCTTTGTGGGCGGAAAAGTAGTTCTAAATTTTAATTACCACAAACTGTTGTATCCTTCATGGAGTCCTTTTTAATAAAAAAAATTTATTGCTAAGATATCACCTTAACACTCTTCCATCATATTAATTTTGCAGTGGAAGCACCATAGTAGGGGTTGGTTCTCCTGATCCCCCACAATTTATATACGATGATGAAGATTATAAGGACGTCTTTTTATCCGGTAAGTCAGTATTACTACTATGTATATGTATTTATGATTATACATTAAGTTTTAATAACTAATAGCTAGAATTCGTATAGTAAACCTAGAATTTACGTACTTGATCATTCTCATTCTTGCAAATCAATAGCCAAAGACTCAGTGGAGTATAGCTGTTTATTATACTTGTTACTGTTTTTTTTTTTTTTTTTTTACTGTTATCATATGATTATTACATTAATGCCATCATTTTTTGCATGTGCAGAAGCTACCTTCATCACACGTGGAGATCAACAATGGTACACAGAGCCATCTTCATCGAATGCTACTTCACATGCT